TCTACTAGGCTTTTATACCTCGCTTAAACCCTTCTTGATATCATTTTCATGATTTCGAGGGTTGTAGCTAAAGACGATTAACGCACAGGCCGGTAGGGAGAGTCAGAACGCTTTTTGGATCTGAAATGCGGGTATTTTGAGGATGGAGAAAAGTTCTAAAAGGGCTGAAAACACAAATCTGCCTTGTTCCAACTAGGTCTCGACAGTTAATTGAAATGCTAGCTGGTGCAGGCAAGATAATTTTCAACTTCAAAAAAGCACGAAACGGAAGCGGCAAGAATATAGGCTGGCGGGGAGAAGAGGAATGAACACGATAATATGGATTTTGAGACCCAGAAACCAGACTTCAATTTTTCATTTACCGGGCTTTTAAGTAGCTATGGTGTCAAAAAGAAACGATGAAATTGGAGTCATGAAGCAAAAATCGCAAAATACCTGTTCTTCCGTCTTATGCAGGTGTCTTTTCACCGTGATACTGCTTGTATTGGTTGTAATAGTAATGGAGCAGCTCGGCCCAACTATAAAGTCCATCACTATTAACGGAAATTTGAAAAAGAACATACTGTTCCTTCCCTCGACTCGTTCTCCAACGCGAAGAGGTACAGCTTAGTAAAGCCCCGCCAGGGTTACCCGGTCGCCAGCCCATAAAGGTGATGAGGAATTGGGTCTGAGAAGTAAATCCCAAACTTCAGTGACCCTTTCGAGGTTCCTTTTTATCCAAAAAGCCATAGTCTGATGCCATTGGCGCCCGCCAGTCGAGCACGGCGTCCAGATGGTGCTCCCCATTGGCCGAATCCGTCCAAAGAACGTTGCAGCGCCACAGGTCGGCATGGATCAGGAAACTGGCGCCTAAGCTGCAGTGAATTTAGAAGCCTAAGCTAAGCCTGTAAACCTAACCTAACCTAAGCCTAAGCTAAGCCCTTTGACTAAGCCCTAACCCTAAGCCTAAGCCCAGCCTGAAAGCCCTAAGCCCAACCTAAAGCTAAGCCACAAACTAACCTAAGCTAAGCTAAGCTAAGCCAAGCTACAAAGATTAAGCCTAAGCTAAGCTAAGCCTAACCTAAGCCTAAGCCTAAGCTAAGCCTAAGCCTAACCTAAGCTAGAAAGCCTAAACCTAAGCCCATAAGCCCAACCCCTAAGCCCTAAGCCTAAACTCGTGTTGGTATTATTCAAATCTCAAATCTTATTTGCTTCCGCCTAATCAAATCTGCCGGTTTGATTTGAATAAAGGTTTCAGCGCTTCCCGTCAAATCGATTTGATTTGGACCCGGAGGTTTAAGTTCAAATCTGAAGATTTGAACGAGGATTTGAAGAAAAGTCAAATCAATAGCTCATTATGCGGATGCTAATTGTATGATGGCATGCATAATCAAGGTAATTTCCGGTTTGCGCCAGCTCGGCCCGCTTGATTTTTTATGTTTTTGCATGCCGGCATCTCCCATGAGATTTGATTAAGGACCAGGCTTAATCAAATCCTCCGAGATGGTTGAACTCGTCCACAGGATTTCAAATCAAAATCCGCCGATTGAAGTGAAATTTTGCCTTCAAATATTCAGATTTGAGCTCTCAGATTTAAGTCAAGATTTGAATAACCCCATCACTAGCCTAAACCTAACCTAAGCCTAAGCCTAAGCCTAAGCCAAGCCCTAAAGATTAAGCCTAAGCCCTGAGCCTAAGCCCCTGGATAATCCCTAAGCCCAAGCTAAACCTACCCCTACCCCCCCGGGACCCCAAGTAGCTGATCTTTCGACACAAGCCCGTCTTCAGCAGCGAGCTTAAAGATTTGCTCCCCAGCTGCTTCGAGTCGTCGCCAAGGAAAGCCCTTCGGTTGTCGCAGGCACTTTTCAGAGCCTAAAATAGCAAGAAATTCATACTGGATAATTTTGGGGCTTTTTGCGCCTTAGAATCAAACGTTTCTGTCGAAAGTGCGTTCTGGCAGGTACGCAAAACGCTTTCTTGGACATATAAACACCAAGAACACACATCCTTGTTCAGCTGTATGTCCAAGTGCTCATCACCGCTGAAGGCATCAGAAAAGTGGTCGTGCTCCTCTTTGGTGAAATGAGCTAAAAATAATGATTTCTCAATTTTCGAAGCGATACCATCAACGGCATGCAGCGCTGCCAAATCGTCGAGGATCTTCTTGGTCGCCTCAATCCCGGCGAATTCATGGGTGAACAGGTTCTTCCCGTTCCTCCAGCTCCATCCTGGGTAGAGCTATAGAAAATCGCGTTCTTGTGCGTTTTCGGGGGACACCAAATTTTGTATTTTTGTTTTTCGTACCATTAGATGAGAGTTTTTACACTGTTTTCACTATCCCGAAACGAAAAATAAAAAGCAATTAACGACAAAAATCGTCATTTTCCATTTTTTTGGCCCAGCAAGAAACCTCCACCGATAATGCAAAAGAACCGGAAATTGTGATTTTAAGAGCCTGTAACCTACCCGAATCTAAGCCGGCCTCAAATTTCTTCGCGCAGACGAATTGCGGGGTGACGAT